AAAGGAAAGCAGATTGATGATGAGAAGCTGAGCCAAATTCAAGAAATGGTATTGCGAGGAGAGGCTAAAGAGGTTGTGATTAATGAGGAAGGCATCTTGAGAATTAAGGGGCGGGTACGTGTGCCCCGTGTTGATGATATGACTCATACTATCCATGCAGAGGCTCATAGTTCGAGGTATTCTATACATCCTGGTGCAACCAAGATGTTTCGTGATCCGAGACAACATTATTGGTGGAGTAGAATGAAGCGTGACATTGTTGATTTTGTTGCCCAACGCCCAAATTGTCAGCAGGTAAAGTACGAGCATCAGAGGCCTAGAGGGACACTTCAATGAATGTCCATTCCTGAATGGAAGTGGGAAAGAATTGCAATGGATTTCTTGGTTGGTCTGCCAAAGACATTGGGTAAGTTTGATTCTATATGGGTAATTGTTGACAGATTAACTAAGTCTACTCACTTCATTCCAGTCAAGGTGACTTATAATGCAGAGAAGTTAGCCAAACTCTATATCCGCGAGATTGTTCGATTGCATGGAGTTTCGATCTCCATTATATCAGATAGAGGTACGCAATTTACTTCTAACTTTTGGAGGACCTAGCAAGCTGAATTAGGTACTAGATTGGATCTTAGTACTACATTTCACCTTCAGACCGATGGACAGTCAACAATCAAGTGCTATAGGATATGTTTCGTGCGTGCGTGATGGATTTTGGTGTTCATTGTGATCAGTTTTTACCCTTGGCAGAGTTTTCGTACAACAATAGCTATCACTCGAGTATTGGTATGGCCCCATTTGAGGCATTATATGGGAGGAGATGTAGGTCTCTCATTGGTTGGTTTGATGCATTTGAGGTGAGACCTTGGGGTACTGATCTTTTGAGGGAATCGTTAGAGAAAGTGAAATTCATTCAGGAGAAGCTTCTAGCAGCTCAGAACAAGCAGAAGGAGCATGCAGATCGGAAGGTCAGGGATTTAGAGTTTATGGAGGGTGAACAAGGTTAAGGATTTGGAGTTTATGGAGGGTGAGCAAGTCCTGCTGAAGGTTTCACCCATGAAGGTGTGATGCGGTTTGGTAAGCTTAGTCCACGATATATTGGGCGATTTGAAGTTCTTAAGCGTGTTGGGGAGGTGGCCTATGAATTGGCCTTGCCTCCAGGGTTGTCAGGAGTGCACCCGATATTTCATGTGTCTATAGTGAAAAAATATCATGGTGATGGAAACTACATTATTCGTTGGGATTCGATCCTGCTTGATGAGAATCTATCTTTTGAGGAGGAGCCTGTAGCTATTCTAGATAGGGAGGTCCACAAGTTGAGGTCAAAGGAGATTGCATCTATCAAGGTTCAGTGGAAAAATCGGTATGTTGAAGAGTCTACTTGGGAGAGTGAGGCTGATATGCAAGAAAGATATCCACATATTTTTGTCGATTTAGGTACCCCTTCTTACCATCACCTTCTTTTGATCGTTCGAGGACGAACGATGGGTAAATTGGTATCTAATGTAACGACCCATTAGGTCATTTTGGGTACTATAGCTTCTTATTTCATAAAAGACTCTTCCGATAAATTCTAAATGGGTGTTTTGGACTATTTGTAACTATAGTTATTTATATAACTAATGAGGTAATTTTAATAATTAATTTAGTCGGGGGATAAAGAAAATAACATTAAAATTAGTAGTGAGCCATTTTTATAACTGGTCATGTATAATAATTAGGATAAATAAATAATCTATAAAAGAAAGACGAAAGAAAACTAGGCGAGAAACTTTACTTGCATCGTCTAACAAGGAAGACCGACATCGAGGTAATGTTTTGAAGCTTCAATGTCCTTATTTAATGGTAGGGGGTTAAATATTATATAATAATATTTCATGGTTAGACATGAATTGAAAGTGGGTGTGCTGGAAGTTTGGATTTTGAATAAGAAAGTGAGGGTGATAATGAACAATCAATTAGTGATTTTATAAGAAAACATGAATTAGCTAGGAAATTTGTTATTAAAAAATATATAGTTAATGGTATTGTTTAACAATTTTGCCCTAAATATTTTAACAATGGAGTTTTGATAATTAGTGATAGTGGTTTCTTTTCTTCTGGTAATAGTAAAATGGAATCAAGAACATTTTATTTGAAAAAAATTAGTGCATATTGTACCAATTAGTGATACTTTATTTGTGCTCCAACACCTAAACTTTAGAAAAGATAATATATCTTTGGATATATTTTGTATCTCCTAAGAAATTTTGTTTTTATAAAAACCATCATATAAATGTGGATCAAACAAAACATTAGTGAAAACTCATAATTCTTCAAACATCATAAATAAAGAATAATTAAAAAGGAAAAAAAGAGGGATTTTATGAAAAAGATGGAGTATCCCTTAGTTTGACTTGCTCTGACCAATAATCTCAATAAGTCTTTGTAAGTTTATTTGTCATCAACATATGAATGCACTCACATCATCTTCTTCTTCTTCTTCTTCTTCAGTAATGTCTGATATAGACAGTTAGAACGCCTTTTTAAACTTTCATACTCGACCTGACATTCTACATACGAAAATTGAAGAATACATCGATGTCGACCAGGAATGAAATTTGAGAATTTGACAGCCATCATTTTCCAATTTTCTAATCCATGGTGTCGCACTGAACCTGCCAACACCATATCTTCTTTAACTTCTCCATTTTTAAAGAAAAGTTTTGTGTGTTTTTTTTAGAGGAACTAACACTTGGTGAATTATGATCCAATTTTTTTCTTCTTAAAATAGGCATACCTCGCGTTAATGGTTGGTTATTAGATTTGGTAAAAAGTTTATTTTAGTCAAATATAGGTTGAATGAATCAAGACAAGCTAATGCGAATGTGACAAAAAGAAATAAGTGCTTTTTTTCATTGTTATCTTCTCATAAAAATCGTGATATATAAATTGTATTTACTTTTCTTAAAATAACATTTATTTTTTTACGATATTAGTGTTTTAGTTCATTTTTTTTCAAGTTGAATTTGAAAATTTTACTCACTTTTTTTATAAAAGAACTTTTCAATTTTATAAAATTGGAAATGAAGCAACGGTTTACAAAACACTATTGATGTCAGCTTCCCGCTCTAAGTCTGTAGAAATCTCTATTGATTTACCTGACTCACCACACTCATAGTAGGACTAGGAACAAACATATACTCACAAGTATCAGAATATATTGAATGGTCATCATAACCTGAAAACTCTAACAGCAATCCTAATAAGTTTTAACCCGAGTTGTAGAAGCCTTGTCCAGAATAATCTCCCTCAAACGCTTGAATAGCTGCATGAACATGTACACTGAACTGAGGATGAAAACCCCTCCTTAAAGATCCCCTACCTCGAGATGAGGTACCACTAAAATAACAAGAAGTGCAAGACCTCTTGTCCGTCAAATCCCTAAATTCCTTGCGGCAAATAAGCTCAACCTCCATGGCCACCTCGATTACTCTTTGAAAAGAAGCTCTAGACGAGGTTGTCTAATAAGTTACTACTTGGATATGATAAGTCAAACTTCTCATGCAATGACAAATTCTTGGTCTTATCTGGCAAAATCATCAAAGGATAGTGAAACAAGGCATGAAATTTTGTCCCAAAATCGATCTGAAATACCATTTTAAGTCAAGTGTTCAAACTAACTCCACTTCTCCTCTTGCAAGTTACAGGGAATGAACCTGTTAGTCTAGTATCGACATCAGACCGCCACCACTTCTTAGATAGGCCACACATGTGAAAAAAAGTGTAATCCACTCTGTGGGACTCCACCAACATCACATTTTGTAACGTCTCATGACAACTCACAAGAAAGTCATAACTGTTCTCTCCTTGTCCAATGTGAAACTGAAGTAGATCTATTTTCTAGAACATCTCAAACCTCTTATGCTCCTCATTAGGCAACATATCTGGGCATAACTCATACACCAACACCCGATGAAGGCATAAAATCACATCTTAAAGTTGTTGCTGCTGGATCCTAAAATTTTTGGTTTGGGTGTTGATCACGGATCTATTTTTCTTTCCTGGTCTAAGAATATAGTCCAAAGTACCGGGTAACCTATCAGTCTAAGTGATACCCTTAAGCAAGTTAAATACTCAAACCAAAGTGTCACTATTAAAAAAATAGTAAAAAAAGACCTAAAAAGCAGATCGCCTAAAAAAGACATCATGAGGTCTTTATTCCACAAAGCAGTTTTTAACTTATTTTTTTAAAGCAACAGACCTCATGATGTCGTTCAAATCAAAAAGAAAATCCGCCAAATAATAATAGCGACTTGAAGGAAATTGGATTGGGTCACTCATGTGGGTCAATTCGGATCCATGTGAGAAGAATATATATATATATATATATAATTAATAAATATAATGAAAATACAACTATTAGAAAGGGTTCTCATAGGAGAAATTAACGTATCTTTCATTCTCTACAATTTCAAAAGAATCGACACTTCTTTTGCTTATTCTCCTTTTTCCTTCTCCAATTCTAGTCAAGTTCGCATGAAGATTCTTTGAAGTTTTCTTTTTCAAAAAGTGTTGGAACGAATAACTGTAACATGTACGATTTTAGACTGTAGCTTTATATAGTATAGTTTGTGTTTAAATACATATGATTGCACTTGAAACTATATTCAATGCTCCTAAAAATTAAGTGTATGATTAGATTCTCCATGACCTTACGAGGTTAATTTTAAATTTCAAAGAAAACATAGCAACCTCATCAGATCTCCAAAGATTTTAAAAAAATTAAAAAAATATATTTAAAAAACGACCTCATGAGGTCTCTATTTCTAAAATATTCGTTGATTACTTTGATTAATAAAAAAGACCTCATTAGAAAACTATTATTATAAAATATAAAAATATCCCTCGACTATAGAAAAACTTTTTAAAATACCCTTTATCCATATCTTTTAGTATTCTAATACTCCCTTCAATTGTTTTTTTTGCTCAGGTTTACGCTTTATATATATATTTTTTTTAAAATATTTATTATATGTATGAAATAAAAACCGCAGATTATTTCCCATTATTTATCGGCACTTCGTCTTCCTCCACCGGTGATGAAATCTGTAGTCTCTCTACCGGCGATGATGTCCGCAGCAGCAGCACCTCCATTGGCGAATTTCACGGCCACAACTGCTTCACGGCCTACAGCCCCCTCGATCCAGTGTAAGTTTCAAAATTCGCTTAATTTAAAAAAATAAATCCATGTTAGGTTTTACCTTTTGATGATAAGCTCTAAAACACTTTATTAATTCCTCATTAGGTTCATTAATTATGATTTTATTTTCTACTTTTGCTGCTAATTTTTAATGATACTTCAAATAATCGTGCTTGTTCAATAATTAATGAATTTTTGCAATAATATTAGTTATAATTAAGAAATCGTGTCATTGTGGTAATGTTGTTAAAATAAGTATTGAGATTTTAGTTGAATATTGGGGGAAGAAGTTGAGTGAACTGCTACAATCAGTTTCTAGTTATACTGGCTACTTCGATCTTAATGGAATCATCAGTTTTATGTAAAGGATCGAGAACATTTGTAAAGGGTAAAGAATGTTAACAACATTAAAGTATTGAGGGATCATCGAATACTCTTTTATGGTTCCGATGATTACTATCTTGTTATTTCGGTGTGGAGATCAGGCAGTTGAGCATATGATAATTGATAGTAGTTGCAGTGCCACCATTATGTTTATTGGACCTGTTCATTGGGAATATGATAATTGATACAATAAATCATATGATAATTGATAATTGATACAATAAATCATCCAATAGATTCTTCACTTTGAGTCATACAAATTTTGTTTATTGGACCTGTTCATTGGGAAAAAAGTTTATAAATTTTTAAGTATGGGTGATTTATAATTAAAAGTTGATACTTACTTACTCTGTCCTATGAATTGTTATGAATTGGTCTTGCCAACTTAATTGTCTTGTCGATCAAATTTCTATTCCATGTTCCACAATATAAATATGATGGTCTTCTATTAACTATCAACTTTATCATTAAGCAATTGCAAGTTTTATTTTAAATATTAGGTGCAGGTTGCATGATTGTTTGAAAATTTTTGGTATTAGCTTTAGAGCTTGTTTGGTTGACTTTTCATTTTTGACTTATAAGCCAAAAGCTATAGAATTTATGGGTTTTGGCCTATTTTTAGCATTTTAGTTTAAAACTAAGTGCTTATAAGCACTTTTTTAACTCATCCAAACACTCCAAAAGTACTTAAGCTATTTTAAGCTTAAAAACACTTTAAAAAAGTCAATCCAAATGGGCTCTAGTCTTTTTAAGGTAAATGTTTCACTTAGTTGCAAGGCTATTTTCTCCCAAACCATAGACCCTACCCTTTGTCCCTCCATTTCTTTTCTTAAGTATCCTAACGCTACCCACAACCACAGACTCAACATCAACAACATAGAAGGCACACAAGCAGGAGGATACAAACTTGAAATGTCCTTTTTAGCACATGCAAACGTAAGTCAGCTGAGTGCCTTTCATAATGCTTGTGACAACTATTTTATGTAATAACTTTTGCTTGCAGTCGTGAAAGATAACTCTAACTTGAAGCCAATATTCTTTCAAAATGCTTCAAGATTAAGTAGAACAAGTTTACAATTTGATTATTAAGATAATGGAAACACCAAGTATTTACAAGTATGTTACATTAGTTTCATGAAGTTGGAGGTTGAGTGAACTTTGAATCATGAAAGTGACCTATTATTGAGGTCTCTTTTTCCGGAAAAAAGACCTCATGAGGTCTCCTTTTTAGGTCTCTTTTTACTGTTTTTTTAGTAGTGTAATTAATGGACCAAACTTTTATCTGATTCGAAAACTATCATTTGATTATGTTTTCTTGGATAGGCCTGGTTGTAGGTGAGAAAGTATTTCTCATTGAAAATGCACAGTTTCTGTTGGAATACTCCTACTGTATAAGATCATCATGTCAAATCTTGTTGTTGCAGAGTTTTGTTTGTTCTTTCAAAATGGTCTGCTGTTCTCTTCAATGGATATACATAATTATTTCAATTCCTTTTGGCAGGTAACTTGCTGTTCTATGTTAGACATCACGTTTACTCTCATAAGAAGTATTCCAAAAATGGAATTACCATTAAGTATAGAGATCTCCTGAAGCACATCAGACCAGAAAAGGGATATTCTTCAACGAGTGTTCGAGGCACCATTTATTGTTCAAATCAGAAGGAAAGAAATGTTGGCTTGCCTTCTGATCATATCGCAGTTGGTGCAAAAGTGATATATGCTGCTGCTCCTGCAATGGGTCATAATCAGGTAAAGTAAATCTACTTACCATATGCATTGTCAAGCTAGCTTTGTGATTCCAGGAATCATTTACTTCATTCTTCTCCTAAAACTGTTGTGGACCCAGCTCATGAGGAGAAACTTTTATCTCTCTTTTTTGATGCCCACCATGAGAGTTAAACTAAAGCTATATATGGTGCTACGGTTTTGATCAAGTGTTTACCTTGCAACCGCTTATGACTTGAGGAGGAATCTACCCAAACTCTAATATCAGAGTTGCAACTAGAAATTTTCTCTTCTTTTACGGCCTAACGTTTTTTTTTGTAGAAGAATCTCCTCAGGGGGTTCGAATTGTTTCACGTGTCTTGATCAATTTAAATGGCAGTGAAATCTGAAACATAGAACTGTTATATGTCATAAACCTCAAAATATGCTGTCATCAAGTTCATTACAACCTCTATGAACTTCCTATCCAGTTTTGGCTCCCCAAAGGGAGTAGCAATAATTTTTTTTCGCCCATTTAATTGCAAAGATTAGCAAATTACTGCCTTTACGGTTATTCTTTCTCTATATTCTCACTGTGTGTCTTTTTCCCACAGTTGTCTTATTGGTTTTCCTACTAAGATATTGTTTTGAGAATTAGGTAGATAATGTTAATATATGTTCCCTAAGAGAAAGTTGTGCTTATTCTGTTCCATGTAGTTGCACGTCATTCTGTCGCCTGCATGTGCGAAAAGTAGATATTATTTCCAAGGTTCACTTATCTGCAATTTAACAAAGTTCTTGTAAGAAATGCCTAGATTTTTGTTCTTTGCAAGGTGCCATTTATTCTCTATCAGATGTCCAGAACTCATGTATGCTAAAGTTCTGAATCTCAATTCCAGTGACATTTTAGTTAAATGTCCTACAATAGGATCCTTCTCTTTCCAGGTATCATTCCTCCTTCAACATGAAACCTATTTAAATTGAGGGCATGTGCCACTTTTCGGCTGGTTGGAGATTGACAGGTTTTTATTATTAATTTGTCTATGCCTTTCCCTTTCAAAACACATCGTAGACATCTAAATCTTATTGGATCAGTCCATACAATACTTGTGCTAAATCCTAAATTCAAGACACGTTGGATCAAGTCAACATTTTCGGTCAATAAGTTCCAAATTAATGATTTAATTCAAAATTATATGACTTAAGTGAAATCCAATGTCACGACCCAAATCTGAAGGGCCGTGACCGCCACTTAGTGAGCATATACCCCACCAAGCAAACCAACTCTCTTAATTATCATTAGGTAAGCAGTCAGAGGAAATGTTCTATTGCTCAATGTTCAAAGAATCTAACTTCAAGAATTTTAGTTTCAGGAACTCCGTCTCTCATGCCCCATTGCGCACTGTGATCTGTCTGTCTAAGTTTTCTTCCCCTGGATATGGGTGTTAAATTTGGTGTTAAATTTAATTTGGTTTGATTTGGTTTTTCTGTTTATCTTGAGACTTGAGTACCTCTATTTGTAATGCTGAGCAGCTATGCACGACCAAATAGTTAAAGTTAACATAACGAGACCGGAATGTAGAAGTTGAAAGCTTGATAGTTTTATCTTCTGTTTTAGAGAATACAAAATGTTCTCCAATTTTCTTACCTTTTTTGTTCCAATTCTATTGGATGTCCCTGTAGGAACTCTTACCTTTATTGCTTGATGTTTCTCTAACAGTAGTTTTGCAGCTTTTCTGAGGCATTCTCTCTTTTCCTAGCATGTCTGTCGTGTGGTTACATTGGACTGACAAATTGTGCCACTGCCATTTCTTGTTCTGTGAGATGCTGCCTGAATCATCTGAATATATTTACTTTGATTCTATTTAAGTGTGATAGTTTGTTGCTTAATATTTTTGTTTAGACTAGATTTCACTTGCAAAATATCTTTTGGTAGAAATGCGCTATTCTATCTTAAACTTTTCACTCCTATGACCTTGCCCCTTAATTTTGCTGGCTAAAGTAGTTGATATACATCTGAGTTTTCAGGTTCCTACAGTGCAAGGATCCTTAATCAAAGTACTTAGTTGGATGTCATAGAACAACTCCTTTTATTTCTACTGATTTTTGTTAATATTCTGTTGCATGATTTCCTTAGGGTAAGAACTGCGTAAACTTCACCATCCTAACATTTAGCTTAAATCTTTTGTTGATTCTCTTTACTATGTCTTTGTTTTGGGGAATATCTATTTCTTGGAATTCAGTCACTAAAAGTTTTCAGGAATCACATCCAGAATGCAACTCTAGAGTTCCTGCAATTTTGACAGCTTTGGAAAAGATGAAACTGACTTCAAAGGTATGCCACAAACACAGCACAATTATTTGTCAGTGCTGATTCTTGTGTTTATTGTTTTCACCAGTGATGATAAAAGACAAACACATTGGGTATCTCTTGAGGGGTCATTTGGAATCAGAGATGAGGAAAATAAATTTGGGATAAAATGTGAGATAATTTTATAAAAATTACTCTAGGAAAAGAAAAAATGAAGTCTCCTAAAATCATGCTAATTAATTAACGTAATCTGTTCCATGAAGTTAAAGCAAAGATGTTGCACATGCCCAACTTGCAAACTGAAGTATGAAAAGTCCTTTTGCTGAGGCCCTATGTAAGCACATACGCTATTTGTTTTCTGACGCTACATGAAACAAACTCAAGGTGCGACTAGTAACTTTCTCTTTGACGAAGTGCCAATCAATTTCATTTTATTTTGTTCAGTCATGTTGAAAATGATTCTGAGGCTCTGAGCTATACTGATTGCAACTTTATTGTGGAAGCTAGTAGAAGGCATTGACTCGCTCCATCTATCCATCTGTCTACGGGTTGAAGCTAGTAGGAAACTGCAATCCCATGCCATGTATGTCCAACAACTCTCTCCAAAAGTTCCCAGTAAAGTGAGGGTCTCAGTCACTAATGATATGCCTCGCCAAGCCCCAATACTTCAACATATTCTTAAAGAATAGCTTGACAGCTTCCTCGGCAATGCAGAGCTTAGTGAGGCGTGCATGAAGATGGGTATACATCGAAAATCTATCCACGACCACTATAATAGTGCATAACCTCTGGACTTCGGCTAACATGTGATAAATTCTATAGCCTTGCTCTCCCATGGATCTCCGTAACTGGCAATGGTTCCAAAGTCCTCCAGGCTGTTGCTGCTCAACATCCTGTTGACATAAAAGCCAAACCTGCATGTAACATTCAATGTCATCCAGTATGCACGCTGATAGTAAACCGACTAAACCAAGCCTCTTGTGACATTGGCCTGGATCACCATCCCAAATGGTGTCATTACTCTCGTACATGATGTGCCACCTAATGACACTCCCATTTCAGCTATTTAGCTAAACCTTGTGTGAGCTACCTCCTATTCTTAAGCGTTAGCAATATACAGGAAGGATTTTATAGGAGCTACCATCCTACGCTAGAGTGAAGCAGTTTCTCCTAGGAACTTATGGGAGATATTATGAAGTCAGATCCGGTGAATTTTCCTTTGTCATAGGACCTTTACCACTATGGTGATCATAGGAGGGCAAGAGAATTCCTGGTAGAACTCTACCATTTGGGTTTATTTTTTGGGGGGAGGGGGGAG